ATCCTGTACCTAAGTTTTCCTGGTCTCTAAAATAAGGATAGTACTTGGTCTCTCCCACCCTTTGTCTTGTCTATTAAAGTAAGCTCTTTAAGGCAGGGACTGCTCTTACTAATGTTTATGTACAGCACTTAGCACACTTGGGCCTTGATTTCTGGTGGGGGCATCTTGGCACTACATTTAATATCATTAATAATAAAACTTCTGCTGCACAGTACAAGCCTAGCAATACATCCCCTCTCCCCAACAGAGCCTACATGTCCTGCTCAGAGATTAAAGACTTGGTACTCTGAGGGAGTCTGGACACCACCCCCCATTTGCTCCCCCACCCCAACCTTACTACCACAGGAAAAACCTGTTCCTCCTTATTTAGGAGAGACTCACCTCCCATATTACCAGCAGTTTGGACAGATCTACTCACTTCTCAATAATACAACTACCCACCCGCCACCAGAAGGATCTGCTCTTGTTATTGTGAGGAATAGCTGCCAGGTGACACTTAAAATAACCTCCATGTGGTGCTGGGGAGTTGGAAGTATGGTGGGTTGCAAGGGGTTGGAGTAAAGGATAGATAGATCCTTGGTAAGGAAGAACACAGAATTGATTATTTATGGAGAGGAAGTATTGCAATGAAGGATTTATTTGCAGGAAGGGGGTGGGGGAAGTGTTGGAATGACTGATTTATTTCGAAATGAAGAGTATTTTATGCTGGAAGTGTCACATGTATCCCTGACTGAGGTAGAAAACTTAGGTAGCCTATCACGAATACCACTCTCTAATTTAATGGAGACATCCTTTTTCAATCAGATGTGACCAAAATAGCACTAAATAAAACTCAAAAAAGTCCCCTACAATTAGGTTTACACTGATAAGCATTCTCCAATCACTGAATCTTAAAATCATATTTCTGCCTGAACACAGTTTTAACCTTTTATTATTCCAAGCGACATCTATGATCAGTGTAATTATTAAACAAGCAGTTCTGTCAAATGCACAAACTAAGAGAAAATAGTCAGTTTCACTCCCTGCTCCCCAGTCAGTGAACATTTCCCCTATTTTAATATCACTTAAAAAATATTTTCTCTGAAGAAAATGTTATTGTAAATCCACACAACTTGATGGGGGGATCTTGGGACAGGTGTATGTGACTGAATGTACCCCTGTATTCACATCCAAAGACACTATTGTAATAATCTTGTACAAAATATGCCTTGCAAGGCATCATTTGAAAACAAACAGCTCACTGGTCAACAATATCATAGTGAAATGTATGTAGGAACATTTGTAAAGTTATGAACATAAACTGAAGTTATGACTAAATTGTGCTTGCCAGAAAAGTCTGGGGGAGGGAGGGTAATCTATTTCTAAAAGAGAAAAAAAGACAAACTGACACCTCTAGCCGGGTGTCAAAGATGATTGCAATCATTGGTCAAGTGGCATTCATTGGCAGCGAAGAGGGACAGGAACAGATTGATTTGCATTTTAACCACCATCCATGAGACTCCATGCCTCCATCCTCACAACTGGAAGGAACTTCATCTAGAGGTACCCCCACAAAAATACATTTTCGAGAGTGAGAGGACTATAAAAAGGGAGGTGCAAAACTGTCCAGGTACTCTCTCTCTTTTTCACCTTTTGGACTTAATGAGAGATTTTGATTTGAAAATTTCATTCAGCAATGTTGCGGGAAACCTGTGGTAAGGATTTAACCTTGAACCAAGCCAAGTCTTAGCTACTAGGAAGCATTTTATCTTTATTTCTCTTGTAACCATTTCTCACTTTAATACCTTGTACTTGTACTCACTTAATCTCTCTGTAGTTAAATAAACTTGTTTTATTTTTTCAGCCAAACTAATCCAGTGTTGTGTTTAATCTGAATTGTTGGATAACTCCAGTTTAAAATAGCAAATGCTTGTATATTGACTCCTTACAGGGAAAAACAGACCTCTAATGTCTGAACTGCCCAGGAGAGGGCTGAGTGGGTGCATAACACATGTTTTTTGGAGAAAATCAGGGACTGGGAGTATGTTGAGGTCACTCTGCAGGTAATAGCCAAGGCTGGAGGAAGCCAGAGTGCTGCTGGCAGGCTGCAGCTATTCATAGGCACTCGGTGTGATCTGCAGCCTCTTTGGCTGTTTGTGAGGAGCCCAGGTCAGGAGCTACATCAGCAAAGCATTGTGAGCCACCCAAGGCTGCAGAGCAGGTAGAGGCACATACGCTCACTGGTCTGGATTGTACCACAGTATTTGACAGCATAGGGGAAAAAATACTGATTTTCATTTCAGTTTATTAGAGGTCATTTTAGTGAGTTCACCAAGTTTCTATAACCCTAAGAGGAGTATTAATGTACTAACAAGAGATGGCTCTCATTCTAGAAAGCTCCAGGCAACTTACAAAAAAAACCCTGCATACTGGATTTGAGCCTTTTGTTGCCAGTGTGATCATTTCACTTTTACATGATTATAGCTTAGTATATAAAGAGTTAAATCATAGTGTCAAAAACAAAAATAGAAATATTGAGAAAACATAAAACGTGCCCTTACCATAGCAAAAAGCTGACCTAATTAGGCTAGCTTCTCTCCAACCAATTAACTTTGAGTAGTCTCTTAAAGAGCTAAACAACAAAACATATAAAATGGATGTTAAATTCAGACTCATGGAATGTCACATACAGCTAAACTGATATCCTTGATTCAAAATCAATACAATAAAAAAAGGGGTTGCCACATGTAGACAGAAAAGACTCTATTCAAAGTGTCAATTCATGAGGCCAGACAATTCCCTATATTTCTGCAAGGGCTATTTCCACACTGGGATAAGGAAATGTTGGAAGTTTTTATTTGCCATTTTGTTGCCTTTCGTGTGTGTGTGTGTGTGTGTGTGTGTGTGTGTGTGTGTGTGTGTGTGTGTGTGTGAGAGAGCGAGTGTGTGTGAGAGAGCGAGCGTGAAGGTGGTGAGTTTTCTTCTTCATCAAATTGGCACAGAGTTCTGCCTTGAAAAGAGGAGGTTACTCACCCTATGCAGTAACTGACTTTGTTCGAGATGAGTGTCCCTGAGGGTGCTCCACTCCAGGTGTCAGTGCGTCCCTGTGCCTTCACTCAGAGATTTTTACAGCAGTATTCGTACCGGTCGTGCACGCACAGCGCCTGCCCCCCCCACTCTGAGTGTACCTTAATAGTATGCGTGCGCAACTGGTCTCCTCAGTTCCTTCTCTACAACAGAGGCTACCCCAACTCTGAAGTAGAGGGCAGAAGGGTGGGTAGTGGAGAATCCACCGGGACATGCATCTCGAAGAACATCAGTTACTGAACAGGGTGAGTAACCTCCTCTTCTTCTTTAAGAGGTGTCCACTCCAGCTGAGCCTGTTTATTTTGTCCATAATTTCCAAAGAAAACCTTCAGAATTTAGGATTCAGGCTAGATGAGACTGCAAACAAAGTGTAACATACCGAGATACATATTAACAGAGAAAGAATCTTGTCTAAGAATACAAAGGACTGGAAAAGCCTGAAAAATGTAATCCATTATTTTGAAAACAGGCTGAGAATAAGAAATATCACATTGCTTGGAGTCCCTGAGGGCAGACACTAGCGGCACTTTTAAAGAACAGATTATTAAGGTGCTGAGGATGGACAACTTTATTTCCTTCTAGAATGTGTTGCAAGAAAGAAAAACCCACAAAGAAAGAATACAAAATACCATCGGTGCTCTATATCTCAGTTTGTTTCAGAAGTCAACGCAGCACATGCATCATATACAGCAATTAAAAGATAATACCACCCAACATGAAAAGGAATGACACACAAGGCAAGAGATAGCTAAACTTAGGGCGTCCTTAGGATAAGGACCCAACATATAAAAAGGACTTAATTGCTTCAGTATACTGTATCTTAATTAAAAGTGAAACTAAAAAGGATAGATGTGCTGTTAAGAGCATTGGACTGGTGGAAAGAGCAATACACCATTTGAAGTTCAGCCTCAAATATTTCTCAAGTGGTTACACTAAAAAAAGCACACCCTTCTTCTCCCTCCCAGTCTGGCCACATCATCTCCAAGCATGCCAGCCATCTGCAAAGCTCTGAGGCTTTGTGCCCTACAAAGCACCCTGTGTCTCGTCATGTCAATCTAGATCAACAATACCGTGCAATTGTGTAAAACATTATCTAGGATACTGAACTTTGGATTAAAAATGTCATATAGGAAAAAGCCATTTTACATAAATATATACATTTTCTAAACTTTGATAGCTTTGTTTTCACTCTTTTACAATATTTTAATAGGCTTTCAGAATTAACAGTTGGAATCATGCCATCAGACAGTGGAGTCAAAAATGCCACTTTCATCACATAAATTGTTTCAAACTACTGTAATAAATGGATAAATTATTTTTTTCTATTAAATTTAAAGAAAGCTTGGTCCTGATTTAAAAACAGAAAAGATATTCATAACTGAATTACAAACCTTCAACTACAGACATGTGAGAAATCCTGACAGACCATTCCCTATAGAAGTAGCAGCTGATGGTACTGTCTATACTTACGCGCTGGTTCGGCGGCAGGCAATCGAACTTCTGGGTTCGATTTATCGCGTCTTGTCTGGACGCGATAAATCGAACCCAGAAGTGCTCCCCGTCGACCCCGGTAATCCTGCGAGGAGTACGCGGAGTTGACGGGGGAGCCTGCCTGCCGCGTCTGGACCGCGGTAAGTTCGAACAAAGGGACGTCGACTTCAGCTACGTAATTCACGTAGCTGAAGTTGCGTACCTTAGTTCGAATTGGGGGGTTAGTGTAGACCAGGCCTAATATGTGCACATATTTACTTGTTATTCTTGGGGCTTTTAGTGTTAACTACAATTCAAATTCTTTATTTTACTATCCCAAAATCTTTTCCATTAGTACATACTGCAGGAAAGTATCCATTTAGCAGAACTAGTCCATTCGATTGTTGAAATGCCAGAGTGCTGAATAAAAAGGACAACAAAAGCAAAACAAGAACTTGACTTACCCCATTTAAAGGATAGGTTTTCCATCCTAGTTCTCCAATTGCAGCTGTAGTATCAAGCAACACCACTAGAAATAAAAATATATGTATATATATATTAGATATTTATTTGTTCTAGACATAGAAATAGAGCAAAATAATTTAAATACCAGGCCTGCATTAATTTGGCTAATTCTACCTCTACAACACTGGTTTAATCCCACTAAAGTCAATGTGGTTGCTTGGCTGTAACTACTAGTAGAATTTTAGCTTTGTGTTTACCTTTCATAGTTAAATCTCAGAAGATATGGCTAATTATATGAAAATTCAATCTTTTCCTACAGTGTAATTTAAAAGTGTATTACTCCATTGTGGTTATAACTAGATATGCCTGAATGAGGAAACCCAGTTCCAGATGCCAGCCCCACCTGGAAATTTGGGAAAGTTTTCATTCAGATGTGTTTCTGGATTCAAGCTTTGTGAACTTTAAAAATGAAGAAAAACAGAGTTTAAGTCATTTCCACATTTTAAAGTTAAATGTAATTGGGGTAAAATGCTAAGAAATAATACAATCAATCAATCTAATACCACCACCATTTAGCTCTAACATAGCACTTTTCACTGGTACATCTCAAAAGCACTTTATAAAGGTCATTATCTCCATTTTATATGTCATCATTTGTAACTGAATCTGTAGAACAATAACAAAACAACTAGAGAGTCTGACTATAATCAGTTTTGCTAGTCTATTTGGATTAAGTGCTAAAAGATACTATCATTTCCAAAATGTTGTATACTGTGAATCTTTTGCAATTTTCATGTATACTTTTTATTATATGACACAAGGTTTGGATATCATTACACTGACAAAGGTAATAAAAACATTCTTTTCGAAAAGATTTTTGGGTTTATAGGTGTTCAAATAAAAAAGCATAGCAAACTGGGTTTCTTTCCTGTCTTAATTATGCAAAAACAACACACAATTCAGAACTTGTAAAACTGTCAGTAAATTCAGTATCTTGAGATATGCCAGACTGTACCTGTACTAATCAAACAGTTATGTTTGACCTTATGGTCCCATATCAGAATCATAAGCTAAGATTGAGATATAAAATTCATTGTTGACTAGCACTGTTATTTCTATTTCCCCAGTTATAGTGTTTTTAAAAAAGTATCAACCAGGTTTCTGAGAAGAATATTTTTTTAAGTTGCATCCTACAGTTCTCTCTCTCTCTCTCTCTCTCTCACACACACACACACACACACACACACACACACACACACACACACACACACACACACA